CCCTAATCCCTAAGAACTCTCATAGGCAGACGAAAATTATGCAGTGTGGTCATAAGCACTCTCATAGGCACACGAAAATCATGCAGTGTGCTCATAAGGATGTTGGTACATATACTGGCGTGCTTATGAGAATTATATGAGGTGTCTCATAAGCAATTTTATAGGCACACGAATATCATACAGTGTGGTCATAAGCATGCCCCACCCATATGGCAATTGCTAATATGGCAATTGCAAAATAAGCTATAAAAATGGAAACCTTATTTTGAAGTATACTATCTAGCAATCACCATGCTCATATATGGGCGTGCCTACTGCCTAGATCAGAGTCCCAGATAGCCTGCGAGCAGGCTCTCAAGTCCTCCCAGACTTCGGCGCGTTTTATATATTCAATATGGCGGCCGCGGTGCGGTATCAATTTTTGTTATATTTTGTGTTTATTAGGAGCGTGTTTTCATCATTAAAAGTTGTAACAAGCAACGTTGGACTTGCTGGAAACAGTTTGGGATCTCTAGCTGCATTTGGTGATTTTAATGCTGATAAAAAGGCCGATTTGTTTTTCATAAATAATGCGAAAGGTGAGCAACCTTGCATGAAAATATGATGAAATGTTATAAAAATTTAGATTTTGCATACACTGAATTTACTAACTAATTTATAAGACTACACTAGAGTTCCAACGTTAAAGATTCATCCGTTCTGATTATTCATTGATTTACTACAGAACTTTCTGCAATGTATCTGAATCTATAGACTGAATGGAAAGTTTGGAAATGTGTACCTGAGGTTTAGAAAAATGAATAGTAAACATATCGAAAACTTCTATATTGCACACCCGATATCTCGGTTGCACAATGCAAACTTTCCACACTAGCCATCAAAGGCCAGCATTTGCCATGGATGCGGAAACCAGAGAAAACCATGGTTTCCAGGAAAGATCTTGTGTTAGAATCCAGGGATGACCCAGTAGGATATTGGTTGCATCCACGGTGATACACATATTTTATGGATTAGTGTAATCCGGGGTAATCTGCCCCCCCCATAGTGGTAGGGCATTTAACCCGTCTCCTCCCTGAGATGTGGGCAGTGGTAGGCAATTAGCACTGTCACTATAAAAAATATTTGATACCTTTTTTCAGAACGCGGTATCAATTTCCCGTGCGTAACACAAAATGACTGAAAAGTGGCAAACTTTGCAGGGCTATATAATCCGCATTTTACAACATTTTGCAACAAAACTTCGGAATATTACTAGATTTTGTCTAGACTTGTCTAGATCAAAATTTTGTTCATTAGGTAATAGGTCCATTGTGATGCTTATGCCCTACTTTATTATTTTACTCTGTCTAACGCCAGACGAGTTTACTCGTCAAGGCAAGAGCAGTGGCACTCAATGGTCAACAGTTTTATGTGTCAATATTACAATCTTTATTATTACAAATAGATAAGAGTAAAGTGGATGTTTATCTTTGGGATTCAAAAGAGTTTGAGATGTCACAGGCCACCATAACTCTTGAGTGAGTGATATATGTTGATAAATTTACATTCAGATTAACTAGACAGTTGCGATATATTGATATTTTCGATAAATATCGATATTTCAAAAATATCGATATTCGATATTCAATTTTTCACATATCGAAAATATCGAAAACTGTAACTAAACAACTTAATCATAGAATATATAATCGACCAGAAGTCTCACTGTACACCTTTCCTTAACATTTTCGTGTCCGCGATTTTCGCCTTGCGGATCACGAATTTCGCACGCTAGATGACGTGTGTGACACTTGCTGCGAACATCACGTCAGCGTTCGTCAGCAAAACGGTTAAAACAGCAATCTTTATTACCTTGTAATGGCAATTGATGGCGTAATTGCTCGCGTTTTATGGCGTGGATTACACTTGCTGGCTCGCGCCTGCGCATAAAAAATCTCGGACATAATTTTGGCTGAGTGAGGCTTCTGGTCTTATTTTCTATTCTGTGACTTAATCTCCGATTATTTAGCAATTATTGTTTTCATTGGTGAAGTTTAGACAACGTGTGTGTGGCGGCAATTGCGAATTTATGATACAAGTGCGTGGGCAATTGAAATTAAAAGCTGAGTTGGAGATGACAGATAAACCATTGTTAATAGATCTTTGAGACGTACCATGACTGGTTTCATGCACTTCTTTTTAACTGTTTGTGATGCGTATACATGCAAGTTGACTAAATTACGTTTTCTCATTTGCATAATTCGATATAGTCGATATTTTTTTTTTATATCGATATATCGATTTTTTTCAATATTGCAGCTGCCTAAGATTATTAACAATTGTCAAAGCTTTAGATTATTGGGTAACAAGGTTCTTTAAAATTCATCTCTTACATTGAATTTTTTATGCTTACTAATGATTATAGTTGTGTAAAAATCAGTGGCCGATTGTACAAAGGTCAATAGCACCATTCACCAGATATTGAATTTTTCAACTTTTTTAAAATTGGCTGTTGATTGGTATTCCTGTAGTCTCCCACGCAGAGGTTCTTATAGCTCTAATCCTTGAAGAACGTCTGGGAGGGAGATTAAGTTTCTTTTAATACTAATTGTCAGGCCCATATCCATAGTTTTATACCATAGCTTTTCGAGTGTTTGTGGCAAAGGTTAAAAAATCACTATCTGATGGATTTTAGCTCAGTGAGCCTTCATTCAACCTGCCCCAGAACATAGCCAAAATCTGGAACTGACATTGTTGGGTTTTTTTGGGGGTGGGGATGTCACCCTGTATATTTCTCATTCCTAAATCCAAACCTTCTGTTCAAACAGGAAAGTTATTATAACAAACGTTATCCCAGGAGACTTCAATAGTGATGGACATCTTGATGCACTGTTGTCTTATTACAACAAGACATTACCTCTTTACCAACATCAAACATTTGTGAAACTATTCCTTGGGATAGATAGTCACTTTGGTATGAACATATAGATATAGTGGAGAGATTACAGAATCAAACTACATGAAAAATATAACAACAACTTTGATGTACTGAAAACCATAGACTGACCGATGTTCTCTGGTTATAATATGTATTTTTTAGACGTTTTCGACTGTCAGTCTACAGTCTTCAATGGGTACTAGACAGTTAAAAGCTTGTAAAAAATAAATATTATATTTATAACGAGAGAACGTCTATAGTTTTCAATATGAGTAATCCTCGTTTTGCACCAAACAAATTAAAATTTTGATGCTTCGAATGAAGGCCTTGGTCTGGAAGTTAATTTTATTAGTATGGTCACTGCCTTTGGAAATCTGTGGATTAATAGGGATATACCTGAAATGCAAGGAGAACTTTGATGTTCCGAACGAAGGTGCTTTGTCGGGAAGTTGGCTCCTAACTAACATCCTGACAAAGAATCTCCTTGTATTTTTTCAGGTAGTTGTATCACTATCTTTGAAACGTTAAAGTTTTTGGTATAGTTTCAATAGTTTGATCTTGTGATCCTTCTAGAGTTCATAGCTACAGTAGCTATATGTACGTTGGAAATCAGCCCTAAATGGTCTGACTCAGGTTGGCATATCTTGGTATTTTTTATATCTGGTGCTAGCCCGGAATTGGAATTTCAGCTGTCATCAACTTATATGCAACTTGTTTGAATGGGGTATAATGCCATCCACTAGTTTATCATACATTCCAAGTTTGTGTTTTTCACGATCATATTCCTAATATACTCCAGATGGAAATCAAGGTTGAAATTTGTTGAAATTTGAAGCTTTGCGTTTTTCCTGATTGTAGTAGGATGTTAATATGAATTCTACTTGTGCTGATTAGAGACACAAATTTATATACTTGGTCTATTTTTTCAGAACTCAACAACATAATAGAATTAGGCGATGCATTGACAGATCAACCAGCTATTGTGGAGTAAGTTACTACAAAGTGATATTGTAGATGTACAGTAATACTGTCATTCTACATAATTATGTGTTTCATTAGAGAGGTTCAGATTAGACTTCACTGCTAGGCACAGCTTATTACAAATGATCGATTTCTCACACCCCTCGTTCAGGTGGCGAGGGTCTGGATGGGGGTATTAAGCGCTAAATGTTTTGGCTTTTTAACACTTTATTTGGAGCATTGTAACACTAAAATGTCAATTTTGGCAGCTTACTAGTAAAATGTAAAGTTTTCTCCAACATCAAACAGTAAAATTTTAGTTCCTGTACTTCTAAACACTTTAGAAAAAACAGGAAATAGCACCAAACAATAAAACTCATTGGCTATTTTCCGTTTAGTTTTAATGGAGATCTTCAACCCGACTTACTGGCAGACAAGGAGTCTGATGGGAAACGATACTGGTGGAGCTATAGTCGAGAAAATAAGTACGTGCCTGGATTACATTATCCTATGGTCAATGATAGTATTATGATACACAAAGCTATTTTTATTGCATCAACAGCAAAGAACATGGCATTAAATTAACCTGTACACATAAAAACACACAAATTGATACAGATTTGCAAAGAAGTTGTAACAAGGTTGTTGTAAAGCAGATATAAGGATGTCTTCGCACTGCTTGTTCCCAGCTGTTGTGACAAGTCTGAAACAAGTTGTTATCATTTTGTTGCAAGATTAATGACGATAACAGACTTGCTACAAGTTTTTCCAACTTGTTCCAGACTTGTCAACAACTGGGAACAAGCGCTGCGAACACATCTTGTTGGCAAGTTGGGAGATTTTTATCAGTTCATGCAACGTTTTGACATACGTTTTGACACATGCCATTCACCCTTCAAACTGTGTTATATGTTATAAATTTTAGCTCATTTACAAGTGAGTTGGTTGTAAATACTACAGACATGTTGCCATTGAGCATACCTCATTCATGTGCCTTTCTGGATATGAATGGAGATTATACTGCAGGTATTTATACCATCTTTTTTTACCAAAATCATACTTACATGTACCATAGCTAACTCTTCTTGAACGTTGAATGTATATGACAGTATATGAATTTTATATTTTAGACATGGTGTTAACCACTGAAAATACATCTTCTAAAGTAGTGAAATACGAAGTTTGGCTAAATACGGTAATACAACGCGTCCGTTCAGCCATATACTTTACAGTATGTGGCAGTGTTGAAATGTGCATAATAGTAAAGTGTCTTTGAGTGCCTTGTATACTTACTGTTTTTACTTAAATCATATTTCAAATATTTTGCAGGATGGTGTTTTTACTACAAATAAACAAGAAATTTACTCTAAGCCTGATAGCGCTATTGTTGTTGGACAGTCTACGTTTGCTGATATTGGTAAGAGAGTTTTTGGAACATTTGGAAGAAACATTTGGTAATACTGTATGACTCAGTAAATTAAAGCTACGACTCAGCCTACGAGAGGCTAAAAATGTGTCCAGATCTCAACAGATCATGCAAATCATGATCATGACATAAAAGTCCCGTACTTATAATATAATATAATGAATTTGTCATTTTGTACTGTACATGAAACAAACTAATTAAAGACAAATAAAGGGGAAAGGAGCAGGTCCCTCGTCCCAATTGACACCTAACCCCTACTTGTAGATGAAAATTATGGAAGAAACATAGCAATGAGGTAAACTTGTCAAAGATATTCAAGTCAATATACTTTGGTAATTGGTTCATATTGGCCTATACAAGGGTTCTGACATTCTCTAGCTGCCTTGCACCCCCTTGAAATTCTGCTTGTATGGGGTTAATGGGAAAGTAATCATAGCATATTTTTTTTGTTTCAGATTCAAATGGATTTGCTGATCATATTCTGCCTGTTTGTTTTGATAAGGCTTGTACCAAAAGTGGAATATATGTGAGGACTACAAACACGGTATGCCACAACACTGCTTGACTGATTTCTCTCATAATTACGATGTTTAACATTTCTGCAGTTCATCTTGTTTTGTTTGTTTCAGTGGAGCCCAATTTTACGAAGTGAGGACAGTCAGAACTACAAGTGGAATTTTTTCAAAGGCACTGTTGAAGATAGCATTCCATTGATGACAATCCGCATAGGTATGGTATAAACTTAGAATAGCTTCAAGGTAATTTCGAGCGTGATTTTCTTGTAATTTAATAAACTGTACATGCTCGTGGTTTATATGCCACAATAATTTACGCATCCAGCTATCTGGGATACATGCATGTTTTATCTCAGTTTTATCTCTCTCAAGATCTGGTAGAGGGTGGGGGAGTGTTTCAGTTTGAGCTGAGCTGCAATTACCTTTGTGATTTTGACCGCAACCAATTAAATACAGTACATGTACATACAGAAAATAATTTAACTTCAGGCGACTATAACATGGATGGATATCCAGATGCTGCTATGGTCGTTGAGATTACACATGATAATGATAAGTATGTATTACACTGAGTTCTTTTAAAAAAAACAACTCTTATCTCTTACATTAGAGTTTTTAGAGGCGATATATCGATATTATATACGCCGAAAACAGTTCTTGGAACTTCTTGAAAATATACTAGTTTTTAGAAGAATTAAACAATTTTGCCCATAACTGGTTAGGTTTCATACATGTATAAAAATCACACTCGAAACTTTCCATCATCGATTGTATTTTCTAGAGGTTCGCCCAAGAGAAGAGTTGTTCTGTTGGAGAATGTCAAGTGTGGAAGTGGTGCTTCATGTTATAATGGTCGAACGTTTAGCATGGATTTAGATGCGGTAAGTCCGCAAGAATTTGGAGATTTGAATCATCATGAGACGTCAGCGAGCGTTTCGTGTCTTCAATCTTCCTAGAATTTGAAAATTGGGTATTAAATATCACGAAAGCTGTTATAACATACACAAAGCATTTCATTACACCAAGTGGTTTCATTTTTAGACTCTCTATTCCATTGACAGTCCAGTTATTGTTGGATTCTTTGATCTTTATGATGACGTAAGTATCATGACTTGTGATTTGACTTGGAGTCGGACCAAATGACTTGTGATTTGACTTAGACCTGCAAGAAATGTCTTTTGATTTGACTTGAACTCGAACCAAATGACTTTGTGAATTGACTTGACCTGCTACTCGTTGTGAATGATTTGTGACTTGGACTCGGACCAAATGACATGTGACTTGGACTTATACAAAATAAGACTCGTTAACAACTTGTCGTTGCCAGCCAAATATGCTGACAAAGTGTTGTCTCGTGGCACGAGAAAGGCTAATTTCTTCCTTTAATCACAAATTGTTATTTTACATGCATATAGGGTACCCTCGACTTAATGGTTGTCAGTTCAAATGATACAGCTAACACATATCAGACTCATGCAATTCAGAATGTCATCTATTCGGACACTTGTTTCCTCAAAGTCATGGGTAAGTCACGTGCATTGAAAGGATCTGAGCCGAGGCACAGAATAGAGTCTTTACAGAAGGTCGACTTCTTGATTTTGGCGTAACCGTTGCAATGCTAATGAGAGGCATTCACTCCCCTGAAAATATTCAAAATGGCAGAACTTCCGGGGGGGTGAATGCTTCTCATAAGCGCATGGCGGCGATCACGCTTTTTTTGCTGAGTCAGCTTTCTGTATGGTCTCTATTCTGTGACCGAGGCCTCGCCTAAGAGGCCATCATCATGGGTAGAAAAACTAGCGGCACATACGACCATTGGTTTCAGAAATGTTTTTAGAAATATAGGAAGAAGAAATTAGCAGAAAGATTATTTTTCATCTTTACAGTTCTTGGAGGTTCTTGCTATTCAGACTGTCCCAGTGGTGTTACAGTAAGTGAAGACCAGCATGGCTACAGTTATCTTAAAATCTTGAAGCCATTACCGCCAACGTGCTGCTCGTTACTTCTTAGTTCATTCCGCTACTGTACAAGCGTAAAAATGCACAAGTTGTTACAAGTCTGCAAACAAGTTGTTACAAATCTGTTCACAAGCTGTCGACAAGTTGTGTTCGCACTGCTTGTTCCCAGTTGTTGTAACAAGTTTGAAACAAGGCAACAAGCTGTTAACAATTTGTAACAAGCTTGATGGCTTTATCAGACTTGTTACAAGGTTGTTCTAACGAATCTGATACAGTGATAATATAACAAGAATGTTACATACAAGGTAGACAACACAAGGTTGTAACAATTAATTGCTATATCATGACTGTATCGGACTTGTTGGAACAACCTTGCAACAAGTCTGATAATATCAACAAGGTTGTTACAAGTTGTTAACAGTTTGTTCCAAACTTGTTGACAACCTGGGACAAGCAGACCGAACACAACTTGTTGACGACTTGTTAGCAGACTTTCTACAAGATGTGAGATGTGTGCATGTGTACACACGTAAAAACGCACAAGTTGTTACAAGTCTGCAAACAAGTTGTTACAAATCTGTTCACAAGCTGTCGACAAGTTGTGTTCGCACTGCTTGTTCCCAGTTGTTGGAACAAGTTTGGAACAAGCTGTCAACAACTTGTAACAAGCTTGATGGCATTATCAGACTTGTTACAAGGTTATTCTAACATGCCAGATACAGTCATGATATAGCAAGAATGTGACAAGATTGATGACACAAGGTTATAACAATATTGTTATATCATGACTGTATCGGACTTGTTGGAACAACCTTGCAACAAGTCTGATAATATCAAGAACTTTGTATTATCAATTAGGTAATATTACAAGTTGTTAACAGCTTGTTCCAAACTTGATGGCAACTTGGGACAAGCAGTGCGAAGACAACTTGTTGACGACTTGTTAGCAGACTTGCCACAAGATGTGAGATTTTTGCGTGTGTAGGTCGAGGATAGTGCTTTACTAAAATCTGCTTACATTATCTTTGCCATGTTGAATCTCCAGGCATGTTCAGCACTAATCACATTTTTATACCGATATGTTATCAGTATACACCCTTTTGATAATTACGTCACACATACTTTTTGGTCCTGCAGCCTCGCTCTCATCAGTAAATTACGCAAGGTGATTGGCTGACGATTCATGAGAGCGAGGCTCCCAGGCCAAATGACGTAATTATCGAAAGGGTGTATTGAAACACCTTTGTATATTTTCAGCCTTATGGAGTTAATCAAGCTGGTCCGTGTGTGAAATACGTGACAACGGGTCTACATGGAAATACAAAAGTAGCCAGCGGTACGTTCACGTGACCTCAATACGTAAAATTCGAAATCATGAGTCGGTTGTTCTAACCTGGATTAGCGCTAACCCTTGTATTTCTGCACGTCTGTTTATTTCAAAACTTCAGAGAAAACTCCTACTGATCCAGACAACATTTCAGAAGAAATATTTCCAAATGTATAAACAAACCTGTTAGGAAATTTGATTCGAATTTTAGGGCTAATCGGCTTTCGAATAACCGGCCTGAAAAACCTGAAGTTCCGAAACAAGGTTGATGAGCCCATGAGACTCGCAACAAGTTGTTCCATCAAGTCTGATAAAACCAGGAAGCCGCGGATGGATAGGGATTTGACTGCCTGGAAAATACAAGTAGAACTTCGACGTTTTAACGAAGGCCCTTCTCTACACTAACTTATCGGCGAAGGGCCTTCGCTCGAAACGTCGACGTTTTACTTGTATTTTTCAGGTTGTTGAATTCTTTCTGGTATGGCCCAGACCGTTCAAGTGTGTTCACGACTTGTTCCGGACTTGTCACAACAACTGGGAACAAGCTGTGCAAATACATCTTGATATCGGCGTGACAACAACCTTGTAAAACATTGTTTGCAGATCTGTAAGAACGTGCGCATTTTTACATATGTATTTATAATATAGCATTTGTAAATTCTGAACGCTGATTGGCTAAGAGCCGTGTTGATATAACTCCATGTCAACACGGGAAATTTTCCGCCGCTTGTAACACGGAAATTTTTCTTATTCTTCGGGCTTTTGACATTGCTATATTATAAAACAAATATAAAACATTTATTCCGTATTGATATATAGTTATATCAACACTCGTGGAAGTTGGGAAAACTCGAAATTGTGTGAAAACACTCCGCCCTTCGGGCGTCGTGTTTCCACACAATTTCTCGTTTTCCCAATTTCCACTCGTGTTGATATAACTGTACATCAACACGGAAAATGTTTTATATTTGTTAAATATATAAGGTCCCTTATATCAGAAGACCATAGTAAGACATGCACATTTTACGATTTTCTGAATTAATTATTAATACATCTTTTTTGTTGTTATAGCAACTCAACTTTCTCAAGCAGCATATTTCGCTCTACAACCTCCTTACATCGTGTTTGGTCTTGGGAGGACACCGAACTTTGTGGAGGAATTGATCGTAGGTTTACCACGAAGTCGAACATCGGTAGGTCGTATCAAACTTGTTTTGCACTGGACCAATTTGTATTTTTTCGTAAATAAAAATTTCTACAAAATTTTTCAACACTATTTTTTTGTTAGCCCATTCGTGTGCACACGTGGACATCGATCATTCCCAACTCCCAAGTTATTATAATACCCTATCCTCCTGATGATCCTTCAGCGTAAGTTGTTAACAATAAGATCCTGTTTACCCTAGTTTACCCTTACAATAAGATCCTGTTTACCCTAGTTTACCCTTACAATAAGATCCTGTTTACCCTTACAATAAGATCCTGTTTACCCTTACAATAAGATCCTGTTTACCCTAGTTTACCCTTACAATAAGATCCTGTTTACCCTAGTTTACCCTTACAATAAGATCCTGTTTACCTTAGTTTATACCTACTTTAGCATTTGTTAAAATTATAGGCTTAATGAATAGGCTTCCTTTGGGTGTTCCTTCCTCATCAGTTTATTGACAGTGCTTAGCCACTGCTTCCGATTGTTCACTTTCCATATTTTAACCCAGGTGGACATCTATGTTGCTGGTCACTCCTAGCAGACTGTTCTTACTTACGGGAGGTGCTTTACTCGCAACTTGTGTTTTCATCGCAGCTTTGGTTGGTGTGTTACATTGGAGAGAGAAGGTACGTGCCTAGGTGGATCGTATTAAGTTTGCATTTTGAGCATCTTCAGCCAAGAATTTATTTCTCTTTATAGAGGGAAGATCGCCGAGAGAAACAAGAAGCTGCTCATAAATTTCATTTTGATGCCATGTAGTGACATTAGCATGCTCAAAATTCAGGCTGCGAGCAGGCTAAATAAAAAATGAGGTTTGGAAATTAGGATGGATGTTATGGTATTAGTTTGACTGTCTGGTTCTATAGCGAAATCAGGTTAGAAGCTTTGAACAATAGTGAAGAAGTTGGTTAAAGGACAAGGATGGATCCAGCATGATCTGGTATGGGGGAGGGTGCTCTGCCAGCTCTGGTGCAGAGTTGTGTCGGTCACATGCCCCCCCCCCCCCATCAACATAAATTGCCGATATGTGATTTTGCATGCGATGTAAATTTTGGGGGTCTCCCAGGGGGATCTGTGTTCCCTTGGAAATTTTCCCTTTGTTCTCCACAAAGATTTCACCATTTTCCCTTGTTTTTCAAGCTTAATGCGGATTTCCATTCAGTGCGAAATGTCGCACGATCGATTTTTTGCGACGCTTTCTTTTGAAATGTGTGCAGTCGACTACAGCTAATGAGATTTGTACTGACTGTTTGTATTTCGAAAGAAAGCGAACTGAGTGGAAATCCGTCTTAATACAGTATGTTCCCTTGTTCTCTATCATTTCTTGGCTTTGTTGAAGTTTGTTCCCGACTGCCTGTGTTCCTAGAAACCCCTGGGGGACCTCCGAGGCCTGTCATACAATTAGACCCTGCTTTATACGTCGAATTTTGGTCGCGTCGAATGCAATTAAGACAATAGATAATGAGATGATAAACCTCATTAAGCTTCATTATCTATTGTTTGAATTGCATTCGACGCGACCGAAATTCGACGTATGAAACGGGCCTTATTTGAACACTCATAAAACATTCTTCTAATTAAAACTGCTATACTCTAAATGGTTTGTCAAGCTGGGATCCGATGAATTCGAAATTCTGCTTTCTAGCATATTGGCCATTGTATTGCCATTTCAATCATGATATTTG